GGCTCAAGGACTGTCAAGGACTTTTGGTTTAGCCAGTCATCGCCTGGTTTGGGAATCAAAGCTTGTATAAAATCAGAGCCTGTTGGGGGTGCCCTGCCTGGCAGTCCTGATTTTTTATTTTCTTCTCTTCATATTACAGCAGAGACAGCACCACCCAATTTCACTCAACGACTGCAGAGCATGACTGTGAGACAAGGAAGCCAAGTGCGACTCCAAGTGAGAGTGACGGGAATCCCTACACCTGTGGTGAAGTTCTATCGGGACGGAGCCGAAATCCAAAGCTCCCTGGATTTTCAAATTTCCCAAGAAGGCGACCTCTACAGCTTACTAATTGTGGAAGCATACCCCGAAGACTCCGGAACCTATTCAGTAAATGCCACTAATAGCGTTGGAAGAGCTACTTCGACTGCCGAATTGCTGGTTCAAGGTATGTGCTGGAGGTTGAGGAGCCGGGGGGGAGGGGGAGGGGGAGGGGCCTGATTTACAACAAAGTGGGGCCAGGGTGCCTCCGCTGTTTGTCCTCTGAAGCCTGGAGATGCTGTGAGCTGCAGTCAAAGCTGGTTTTTCAACACCCGTAAATAGAAAATTGTCCGAGATTCTAGGCAGGAGCTCAGAAGCAATTGGTGGATATTAACCTCATTAGAAACTGGGAGTATTTCAGTTAAATCATCTGCACTTTCAAATTATTGGCAAATAATGGAATTTCTTTTAAAAAATGTTTCTATCTAAATTCTCATCTAATAATGAATATTTTCTACTTTTAAATTTAATTATATTCATACGAAACCCAAAACTTTGTACCTTTTCTCTTTTGGGACACCTAGAAAATTTTTTTGATTTTGTAATAAGAAATAACATAACTGCTTTAAAAATGGGTCATTGTGTCCCCTCCTAACTGATCTTTCCCTTCCTGCAGGTGAAGAAGTAGTACCCGCTAAAAAGACAAAGACAATTGTTTCGACTGCTCAGATTTCAGAAACAAGAGAAACACGAATTGAAAAGGTATTTTTCTATACTGTGAGTATTGAAACCTTTCAGATTGTTTCTTCAACTATTCCTCCTCACTGCGGGCTTTATTTTCATCTTTTGCAGAAGATTGAAGCCCACTTTGATGCCAGATCAATTGCAGCAGTTGAGATGGTCATAGATGGTGCCACTGGGCAACAGCTGCCACATAAAACACCTCCCAGGATACTTCCAAAGCCAAAGTCAAGGTCTCCCACACCACCATCCATTGCTGCCAAAGCACAGCTGGCTCGACAGCAATCTCCCTCGCCGATAAGACTCTCCCCTTCCCCGGTCAGACATGTGCGCGCACCCACCCCATCTCCTGTCAGGTAAAGCCTTTTAAAGCAGATCAGGTCATTATGTGTTTTTGAATTAAATTTAATCAATAGGAAGAGAAATAGAAGGA